GAGGGGAATGAAAGAGTGACTCAAACAAAGACAGTCGGACGAGGTGCGTGATGGAGTGAGGCTGCCTGGATGGAGGAAATGATTAAGCAGTAAACTGATAACTGGAAGGTTGATGGTTTGAGCCCACCCAGGGGCACCTCAGTAAAAAGACCTGGAATTCAATTTCCAAAAACACAGTTACTGAAAACCCTGCGGCGAATGGTTCTACCCTGACACGTGGGGTCACTGTGAGTCATAAGTGATTAGGTTTTTTTTTAAGGATAGGGTGGAGTGGAGGACGCTGGGCATTCCTGCCCCCAGGACCTCTGATCCTTGAGAACTGAGTCAATCAATCCTAGAAAAATTCACTTTGTAATCATGCTGATTAGAGACCCTGTCACCTGCCCAGCCCAAGCCTCACATGCCTGAGGTGCCAGTCTGCCTCCTCTTACAGTCCTCACTGCAGACAGCACCTTTGGGATCAGGGAGGAGCTTGTCACCACAGTATGTGCCAAACAATTCAGATTGATACTGTTTGGTTCTCCTGGATTACGGAACTCCACTATGAGTTGGGTCTGACTGGACAGCAGGTACCACCAGCACCACCACCACCACCTTTCCATCAGCAGTTGAATGTCTTAACCACAGTGCCGCCAGGGCTCCTTAATCTACTAGTATGTTTTAAATAACTTTTTTTCTCTAATAAGAGCCATGATATATATGCACACTCATGTCCATCACAGCACTACTCACAATAGCAAAAAGATGGAAACAACGTAAGTGCCTATCAAACGGAGGAATGGATCAACTAACTCTAGCGTCAACAAACACGATGGAATACTAGGCAATGTTAAAGAACAATGATGAATCTGTGAAACATCTCATACCATGGATGAAACCAGAGGATACTGAGTGAAAACACTCAATCATAAAGGGAAAAATATTGTTCGAGCTCACTATTGGAAAGGGTCAGAAGAGATTTTTCACACACACAAAAAAGAAATATTCTTTGACGATTACTAGCCATGGGTGGGGAAGGAAGGGTAAGCCACTAACTAGAGGGTAGACGCACATTACTTTGGGTGGGAGAAAAACAAAACATAAAGAAGGCCCATGGCACCCTTGGGGGTGGGGGTGGGACCATGGAATAAACACACGAACAAAACTTTTTCTTTCCTGAAGCTCGACCAGGGGAGAGAGGGTGGTGTGCAAGATAGAACAGTCTCCATTTAAGGTCTGTAAGCTTCTATGAAGAAAGAACTGGCTAAGGTGAATGGGAGCAAGTCAGCAACCCCACGCACACAGTCTGTCTAGGGCACCTCTCTGTGCGTTTGGGACATCATGATCAAGCTAACTCGGGCTACGGTTTCCTGGCAGCAGGTGCACGGGGCGATCTCAACCATCCTAGTGGTACAGCGAGGATCGTGGGGCTGGTACAGGGCCAGGCAGTTTCCTTCGGCTGAACATGCGGTCGCTAGGAGTCGGAGAGGATGCCACGGCACCTAACAACAACTGGCGAGGGGCAGGAGGAGCAGGGAAGTAATAGGAAATCAAGGCCCTATGCCCTAAGGAATCCTTAGGGCATTTTCTGACACCTGCCACCACCACCACCTTCCGCCCTCTCTCTGCGCCACTCCAGGAGAAATGGCCCGAATCCCGTGTCCAGGCCACACGTTACGCCATGCAAAAAGAAACAGGCCTTCCGTTCCCCTAAGCCGGCCTCTGCTGTTCAGCATTTTCACTGATTTGGACATGCGGTACCTTTGAACTTGGGCACAGAAAAATGATGAAACAAGAACGCGCTCCAATAGCTGCGAAAGACTCCTGGGATCTTTCTAAACACATCTATGTACAAAGTTAACAAATTCTCAGCAATCCTCAAGTCCCGAAAGTTAAGAGAACCTAATTTAGAAAATTCGAGATTTTTCGAAAGATCCTGAACAAAAAAGCATTTCTCCATCCCGTCGGGCAATCGCAGCTCCACTCTGCCCCAGGCTCACCTCGGAAGCGGCGACCCCGACCCTCTCGGACTCGTACACCAGAGACACCGACCGGCTGGTGCTGGCGGCCATGGCCTCTGCCCTGCACAACACCTCCTGTCGCAGGCTCTGCTGCCGGTCCGCGGGCGCGCCGGGCCCGTCGGGGAGGTCGCGGGCGTCCCGGCCGCCCTCCTCCTCGGCGTCGTCGTCGTCGAACGGGTTGTAGCTCCTGGAGGTGGCCGACATGATGCCAGCGCTAGTCTCGGCCGGGGCCGAAGGACGAGCGTGAACTAGGAAAGTTATGGCCTTTGTAGGTCCGCAGGGCCGTCTGAGGCCTTCGGAAGCGCCCTTCGCTGTGCCGCCAGTCGCGAGGACGCCGTCAGCCGCGGCCGCCGCGCCCACCTCCTTACGTCGGCGACTGGCTAGCCCGTCTGCTTCCGCCCGTCTGGCGCAGGCCTGCCTCCTTCCGCCCTTCCTACGCGCGCGGCCCCGCCCCCGGAGCCGACCATCTCGAGCTGGCGCCTGGGGGGGAGCCACGCCGAAAGCACCCGCGCGGCTTCTCCCCCTGCGCTGCGGTGGAACCGCCCCACAATCGCGCTCCACCCAGTGTCCGCAAAGGAGGAGTCACGTGGCGGGAAAGCCGGATGCGGCTGCGCCTGCGCAGCGAGGTCTGCGCTGTCGGGCAGGGAGCTGAGGGCCGGCTCGTATCCGCGGGTTGTGTGGTGATGGCGACGGCTGCGGCCCGGGGAGGCGGCGGCGGCGGCGGCGGCGCCTCCGCCTCCGCCTCCGCCTCCGCCTCCGGGTCCACTGTCGGCGCCTCGCGGGGCTTCTACTTCAACACGGTGCTGTCACTGGCCCGCTCCCTGGCCGTGCAGAGACCAGCATCCTTGGAAAAGGTAACCTCGGCCCGTTCGGCCGCGGACTGACAGGGGCCTGGGCGGCCCAGCAGGGAGGCGGGCGGAGGTCGCGAGCAGCCTGGGACCGGAGGGATCCTGTGGGGGGAGGCGCTTTTGAGGGGACACAGACGGTCGGGGAGGGGTCCGCCAAGGGCGGGGTCGTCGGAGAAGAGTCTTTCAGGCCGGAGGGGGGGTTCGATCCAGGGACCCCCTTGCGACATCGCTGGGCGGGGCCTGCACGTGGCGGCAGCGGGGAAGCTGTTGGAAAAGATGAGGACCAGGGAGCCAAAAGTGGGGCTCTGCACCCGACTTCCCTGCTTCTCCCGTGACCTTGGGGAGATGCCTTTCTCCTGAAATGGGGTGCTTTCGTTTGCTTCTCCCGCCTCCCGGCGTGGTCGGGTAGGAGCAGGTGACAGTGAACGCAAAAACGCTTTCTGAGCTCCATAATGGCTCACTGTTACTCTCCAAGGCAGGTGGGGGCTGGAGGCGGGCGTACAGGACTCAGTAAGACGCGGGGTGTTGGATGGGGACAGCGGCAGGGATGGTAACTGAACGACCAGAGGGGAGAGAATTGAGCTCGGGAAAGACGCGCCAGAGAAATCCTGTGTCGTGGGAGTGAACGACCCTCAGAGGTGTGTCGCAGAATGAGCAAGATCAGATTTCAGAGTCAAACTAGATTTGGTGCCTGATCTATCACCTATTGTCTGTCTCTTTATCAGTAAGGTGTGGTGGATCTTAGGACTGTGAGTTTGATGTGAAGTGCGGGACACAGGGTAGGCACACAGTAGGTGGAAGGGCTGTCAGCTTCCCACGCGAGTTTGGGGTGGGACACGTGACCGTGTGTAAGCCCTGAAGGAAACTGGTTATTTTTCCAGCTTTCTGGCTGATGGGAAGAGGACACACTCCCTGACCGTAGGAAATCGGTATGCTGCATCTCAGAACCGTTTGTGGCTCTGAGGTGAAGCTGAAAAGCAGTTTTGTGTTAGGCACTTTGGCGGAGCGACTTTAAAGAAAAAAAAAAAAAAGGCTTTGTGATCTAGTGGATTCTGACTCAGTGCCGCTAGAGGGGGCAGAGGGAGAGGACAAAGTGGAACTGCAACAGAGTGGAACTCCATCAAAGGGTGGAACTCCATCAAAAGGTCTCCAAGGCTGTAAATCTTCATGGAAACAAAAAAACAAACCAAACTCACTGTGCTCCAGAGCCCCAACCAAACCCACTGCCATAGAGTGGATTCTGACTTATAGCGCCCCTAGAGGACAGAGTGGAACTGCCTCAGTGGGTTTCCAAGGCTATTAATCTTTTTATTTATTTTTA